AGAGAGAGAGAGAGAGACCACACTGTTCTAGACATGTCTCTTATACACATCTAGATGTGTATAAGAGACAGTACTAGTACTTTGTTGTGGCGACAAAATATCTGCAAGGCTGGGCCCGTATACCAGCGGTTTAAAAGGATTGAACGGTACAGAGAAGGTTAGCATGGCCCCTGCCCAAGGATGGCACGCACGCGATTCGAGAAATAGTCCAAAATTTTAATTTTCAAATGAAAAAAAGGAGGACGGGGAGGAGGATGCAAGAACCCCTGAGATGGAAGAAGAACCTGTGGCCATCCTCGGATCGGCAATCCGAAAAAAAAAAATAACGGTGGTCGGACTGGGAGGGCAGGCAACCCGCCAGTCTATAGATGACAGGGGTGGGCTTCAAACCATCACAGTACTTTCCACAATCATTCTGTTATGACGCCGCGTTCTTAAATACCCAGCGACCGTCCTACCGAAACAAAACGCACGGTGACGACAGGCCAATTTGTTTTCAATTTCGTGCGCGCCGGTTGGCCAAAAGAATCAAAGAGTCAAAACCAAGTAAGCCCTAACTAAGAAATCGGCATCAGGAAAGAGAGACTCTCGAGGCACTGCCGGTTTCAAGCACTCATACATCTTTTTCTCCCGTCCCGGCGCACAACTTTGCCCGGCCTAAACATACCGAACCGACAAGATTCCCTGTGCGCGAGAGTTTCACAAATGAAACAAAAATACGGAGCCCGATCGAGACCCGGCTCAGTTGGTACACCCATCATGAACTGCTGAAATACAGACCCGAGTTCGAATCGAGTTGCAACCGCACAGAACAGAATAAAATAATAATGAATAAAATAATAATGAATAAAATAATAATGAATAAAATAATAATGAACCTAGGCTACCAGAGTGGCCCGGGTCCACTTGCCCGCCCAGTCGGGCCAAAAAGATACAGAAACTGAGGCACCGTACTGGCGGTTTAAACGCATAACCACCTCCAGACCTCTTTTCCCGAGTGCCGGATTTTTCGCTCAAAGCCTGAGTTTTTCCAGGCGGTCTCAAGAGTGGACCGGACAGCAGCGGCATTTGGATCCAGTACGCGAATCCTCTCTGCCGCATACAATGTGCAGCCGACGGGGAGATGGCTGAATCAACAACTGGTGTAGTTTAAACCACCAGTCTAGGCTACCAAAGTGGCCCGGGGTCACTTGCCCGGCCGGGCCAAAAAAAAATAAAACTTGATTTTTTTTTTTTAATTAATAAATTTATTTTTTATTCGAAATTTCGTGAAGAATTGTCGTGAAGAATTTCCATGTGACCCTGAGGCAAACGATGTTCAGTTTATTTTTCTCCATAACATAGTTCTTTTTTGGATTTTTTGCAATTTTCTTTTTCTTTTTTTTGCTATTCCGAAATTTTATTTTTTATTCTAAATTAGGTGAACAATTTCGACGTGAACCCGAGGCAAAAGTTGTTCAGTTTATTTTTCTGCACAACTGTAACAACATTGTTCTTCTTTTGGATTTTTCGGGTTTTTTTATTTTTTATTTTTTTTTGCTGGGACCTTCCCTGGTCCTTGCAGGGGCTGGGCACCCGGGACCCGGGCATCCCGGCTGGTAGCCTAGTTAAAGAATTTATTTTCAAAATAATTCCTACGTGAAGTTTAACATTTAATAACCAGCAAATCACTCTATGCAGCTCCCCACCAATAGATGGAGCAACCTGGGACAAGTTATACATATAAATAGTTCCTATTTTCCAATAAAAAATCAATTAAAAAAAATAAAATATTGGCAAGAAAAAAAGAAAAAAAAGAACGATTTTTACTTTAAAAGTAGGTGATTCAATTCCATACAGTCCGCTGCTTTTATCACCCGCTCTAGAAGAGGTTGCTGGTTAAAAATATTAAAAAAATAAAAAACAAACAAACAAACAAGCAAACAGACTTACCTTTACCTCAAACCTTTCTTTTATTTTCCTTCTTTTTTCCTTCTTTTTTCCTTTTTTTTTCTTTTTTTTTTCTTTTTTTTTCAGTTTAAACGTGTACAAAAGCAGTTTTTCAAAAACAATTTCTCACAAGCAATTAGCGTTAAAACATTCAATGGACCTCGCTCTACTACTACTCACATGCAAAATAGACAACATATACGGCATCGTATCTGCCCACATTCTAGAGGAGGATTCATTCCCATTTTGCACAACTGACGAGTAGTAGAGGGACACCCAATAGCGACTGGCTTGTAACCACTCGGCACAAATACACGAGGAGGACATACCCACCTCGCTAGCTTATAGCAGAAATTCACGAAAATGTATTACGTTATTTGCCTGTAGGACAGTGTAGGTGGTATTATTGGACTTACTATCCTAGTACCCTACACCTATCAATTGTCGATTGACATACAGACCTGAGTGCGAACCCGGACGTGTGCAAACGGGTAGATGAATCAAACTCTCCTGAATTACCTGCAAATGGTCGAGTCAATTCTACGATGACATCCCAATGCCGTTGCGCTTCTAAAATTAAATTAAATTAAATTAATTAAAAAAAAAAAAAAACAAGGGGGGTAATCTTACAAGAACGACGAATCTGGGCTTCGTGCCAATCAACACCAATTTCCAATTGAAATCCAGACCGGACCCGTCTACCAGCCAGACCAAAGCTTTTTTTTTGGTTTCTTCTCTGTTTTCGTTTTTGAAAAAAAAAACAAACAGACATGGATAACGAGTACAACATACATGCACAACCTTTAAGAACAAAATCAAGGTGCCAAAACAAAAAAAACAAAAAAAAAAAAAAAAGAACCTTGAAAAGAGGGAAAAAAAGGCATGGTGTCCTTGCAATCAGACATCGTAAAAACGCACTACTAGTCACGTGGTTAAAAAATAAATAAAAAAATGCAAAAGGAAGCAGTTACATCAACTTCGATGAGACGACTCAGGGTATACTCACGTGGACATAATTGCAGCTAGATGCATCCAGGTCGGGTCGGAAAAGTAGTCATGTACATACAGTGAAATCCTAGTGTCGGTACTCCCTCGTAGATTTGCAAACAAAGGAGTCTTTGGCCTGAACAATCGATAAAGAGCGAATGTTTTACAGGCCCACTTCCCAAAAACTATTGCTACTCGCGTCTCAGAATCAACCAGCGCGGACGAAATACGGCATTCACATGATGAGGATGCCTAGTGGACACCGAACGCGAGATAGAACATAAGGTTACTCAATAGACTGAAATAAAAACAAAGCTGCACAGAATGAGAGGCTGTGTGCATTAGGGATGGAGAGGGGGAGACCAATACCAAGAGGAAGGCAACGAGGGAGCAGGCAGAAAAGGTATGGTGGAGGGGAGAGGCAACACGGACAAGCGAGAGCAAGAGAAAGCGAACGGGCGAGCGAGCGAGCGAGAGAGAGAGAGAGAGAGGGAGAGAGAGAGAGAGAGAGAGAGAGAGAGAGAGAGAG